ATTCTCAGAATGTGGCAACTGAAGTTAACCAAGTCCACTCAGCTGAGAGGAGGTCAGAACTGGAGAAAACTGATGTTCAGGAGACGTTAATACTTCATACTGAGATAAGCCCTGACATTGAAAACGGTGTTCAGAAAGATGTAGGTCAAAAATTTCAGACAACTCTTTCAACAGATGCTCAGACTAAATTGAAAGAAGATTCCTCACAGTGTAATCAAGTAACAGGGAGGTGGATTCTTGGCGAGAATCGGGCTGAAATGAACAGAAAACCACTTCAACCTCAGCTGTCAGAAAGGTCTGTCACAGAATTGCCAGAAACCAAAACTGCTTCTGTTATCCAGATGCCTGCAGAAATTGGACATGTGGATATAGAAGGTAGAGAGAAGGTAGGCAGTCAGGAACTCTGTGATCGACAGAAAAAAGAGGCCCAAGAGAAAGTTGGACAGGAAGATGCAAATAAAACTGTGGTTACTAACACAAACATTCCTGGTACCTTGGAGAAAGATGCAGAGATGAAAGACTGGGAACTAAAGGCGGTAAAGCCTGAGCTTAGCTTACACCCAAAGACTTTGTTACCTGAAGCACAGAATGAAATTCAAAATTTGGGAAATTCCCATTTGGTAGAGGATAAGTTAAGTGATAACTGTAGAACTCACTCAGAAACTGATAATCCAGATTTGTTCTGGGATTTTCAGAACACTTCAAAAGAAAAAGCTTTAGTAGCAGTAGTGACAGAGCAGAATTCTATTGATGCCTCCTTAAAAGATGCAAAACTGAAAAGCATAGCTCTGGAAGTATCTCAGCCAGGGGACCTTGGTGAAGCTCACCGCATTTCCAGAACCCAAAGTAAGATTTCAGAAATGACAAGAAGTCCTGGTGAATGGGACACTTCCAGAACTAATAATGGAGAAGAACAGCTCATCACAACCCATTCTGCTTCTGAAAGTGGTTGGGATCTATCAAGTACTCCAAATGTAGAAATAAAAACTGGTTCTAATGTAGTTAGTGCTTCAGATCTGACAGAAGTACGGCCAGACAGATGTCTCACCAACACAGAAACCAGAAGTAGCATATTAGAAGCTCAAGAAGTTCAACCTGAACCTTCAGACCAAGCAGTATTAGATAACCAAACGCAAAGGCAGGAGGTTGCATGGTTAGTCAATGCCTGCTCTGGGAACATTGTTGAACTCAGATCCAGTGTAGAATTAGTAGTTGAAGTTGAAAAAAAATCATTAGGACACACTGGATCTGATGCAACATTAGATAATGGTTTTATCAAGAGAGATGCAAAAGAAGTAGGGACTGGAGGTTTTTCTAGAGCTCGCTCTGATCTTGTCCAAGAGTCAGTGGTTGCTTTATCGGCAAATTCCCAAAGGGAGCATCTTTCAGAAGCAGCTGTCCACTCCCCAGAAACAAAGCATAAGGTTGTAAGAACCTCAGCGAGCAACGACCTTCATCTGAATACCAGTCACTCAGGACTGAACACTGAGCAATCTGAAAGTCCCTCTGCAAATGTTCACATGGATGACAAGAAAGTTTCTTTGACATCAGAAGGTGTGAAACATAATGAGATTTCCTCCCAGAAAGCAGAGCTCGACTTCAAAAGCACTGATTTCAGTTTAGGAGATACTAAGGTAAAACACGAATGCTTCAGCATCCTTACAGCAGGACTTTTAAATGAGAATAGAGAAGTCTCAAAACTAGAAACTGTTGCATCCATTAGGATGGAGTCCAGTAAACTTAAGAAGCTGGGCGTTGAAAAAACAGTGGATGAAACAGAGATTACTGATTTTGCTACATTGACTCCTAGTAGTCGGGAAGAAAAATTTTGCACACGGATTTCTCAAACAACTATGCCACAGCTTGGATTGCAGTCCTCAAAGAGTGACACTACAGAAGTGGTCATGCCAGTTCTAGAAATACAGGGCATTTCTCCCATGTCTGAAATCCTTCTGAAAATAGAGGAGAGCAAAGGTGGTACTGATGAAATGCCATCACTGAGTTGTGATGGAGGCCGCACAGAAAATCAGGCTTCTGGGTGTGTGGAAACTTTCCTTCCTGGGCTCAAAGAAACACATGAAAAGGAGGGTGGCTTGGGAGGCAAGGGAGTGTGCACCATCCAGAGCAAGAAGACTGAGCAAACAGAAATTGCTGACAGTAGTTTGGAAGTTACAACAAATTCAGGAGTTGCTGAAAGCTTAGCAGAAAGCCCAGTGGGTTGAAGTGAACCCAGCCAGTCCCAATATTTGAGGAGCCAGAGCTGGGATTATGTATATGTTTGGTTTTTTGTTCCAGTTGAAGGTTTTGGGTGTATTTTGCATCCTGTGGCAAGACTTGACTGAAGTGAAACTTACATCTTTGGAAACCAGACACATACTTTATTCTGTACATAATTAATTGTGTAAAATGTTTTTTCATGTGAATTTTTTTGCCAATTTCTTTTCTACACTCTGCTATTAAAATGGAATCTCTCGTTTATAATGCGTGCGTCTTTGTTGTTTATTTTGGGGGCTTTTATTCTTTGACCATTCTTGGATGATTTCCAGCTCACCCTGTTTGTGTCAGTAGCACCATGAGTAGCCCAGCCGCTGGGACAAGCTTGAGAACAGCAATTTAAAACTTGAGGAAATGGAGACTTGCAGAAGAGCTAAACCTGAACATTTCCTTTAAACTGTAATGCATGGTTCTGTTTACTTTCATTGTTTGAAATGCAAGAATGTGATTAGAGTTGATTTTGTTGGTTTGTTTATCTGTCTCTGTGATTTGTAATTACTGTTATATTACATCTGTGCTTAAGATGTTTCATTGTATTGTATAAGCACATGTATGGATGCCACATCACTAAGCAAGGGGAGAAAATCTGTCCGACTGGCTTTTGGAGAAGAAGACTAATCGGTAAGGCTCTGTGGCCTGACACCTGGACCAGACATATTGAGGTCACTTACATGATTTGAAATGGGCTTTCTTTCATTGTATTGTGATCCAGTAACTATTTGTGTTAAATCATTTAGCAGCTGACCAGCTCTGAAGAAGCAGAAGATCAGAACCCTGGTGTCAGGAATTGGACTCGCTTCATGTGATACAGACACATGCATGCCTACCCTGAATGGTCCTTGAGCTATCAAAAGCTCTAGTGTGATGGTTCTCATTTGTATAGCTTGTTAAAGACTAAGGTATTAAATGTGTTTGCTTGGATAAATATAACATTTTTACTTGTAAATTGTTTAAAAAATAAACATATGGTGGTCAACAAGACTTTCTTCTTGATTTTCTTTTTTTCTTAAGTGTTTTATTTCAATTAGTTTCTAACTCCTGTAGTAGCTGATAAAATTGAGAAATTTTAGATGATGAAGATACTCAACAGTTAGCCTGCTCAGTAAAAAACTGGTTTATTCCCAGCTGACATCAATGGAAGAACTACCGTCAGCATCATCAGTGGAAGTTTGTTTGAAGTCCTAAGCCCTGTGTAAAGCTCGAGATGGGACATCGGGGGGGGAACCCAAGCAGAGTTTGTATTTCTGTAATCACTACCAGCGTGTGGACCTCCAGAGGAGGAAAAATCACCATTTTTCTTCTGTTTCTGTGACTGTGTGTGAAGAAGGTATGAAACATTTTTCAGAGTCATTGTGGTGGTGTTCATATTAGAAATGTAAGAACTATCTAAGCTGAATTTGGAAATGTAGTATAAATGGTCAAGTAATCAAAAAAAAAAGGTATTTAAGAAGGGAAGAGTATTTTCAGAAAGGCTCTTTAAGCTGTTTTTATGATGTTAAGCAGTTACTGCACTGAATATAAGAAGTCTTTGTTAGTGTCACTGCCCTACTTTTTTCAAATAACCGTTTGCTGTCAAAACCAAAGAAAGCAAGGTTTGACACGCTTTGATACTTTCAAACTGGAGTTGGGTAATGAGTAGATATTGCTTAAATGTTGGTTTATAAATAAGTCCTTTGTTTCTCAGTTTTCTTCTGTATTTTTTTTAATTATATATCTGAGTTTATTTGTTTACATTTGACAGCTCAATTTTTTTCCCCCATTTTCTCTCCCAATTTCTTCAGTGAAGTGCCTGGTCCCTTGTAAATCCACAGAGGAAGAGGGGAACTGATTTTCTTGCCTACCTTTTATTGAGGGATATCAGGGCAGGGAAGGAAGATATTAAAGGGAAAGCTGAATTTTTTCCACAGTTCTGCATTTTAGATGGTGGTGTTTTGGAATACAGACCTGCTTTCTGGTTAGTTTCCTGCTGTGGATTGGTTTTCATGAAGGTCTCAGTGCATGCAATGGCAAACAGAATAATTCGGACAATTGTCTTCTTCAGACAACCTTATTCAGTGATGTGTTACCTATGTGGGACATACTCGATTAACTTTATTTGGGGGGAAAGGACATCAGTGTAAATCCAATATCCTTGTTATCTGCTCTCTTACAGTTGCTTCTGTAAGTAGTGGTATTCAGTGCTGAACCTGACTGACCACGAATGGAGAGCAGCTAGCACCAAGGGAAAGCAAGAGCTTTGCAAATGAGAAACTGAGAATTGTTACCCCATATTTGTCTTCAGCTTTCCAGAAGCTGAACCTTCCTATGGTACAAATTAAGCTGTACTTCTGTTCATGCCGTTTAGTCAAATGATTGTCCCTCTATCCCTGAGTGGAGTAGGCCTCTATCCCACACTGGAAGAAAGATTAATTTGATCTTTTTTGAGGTAGGAATAAAAGGTACTTCTGGAATTGCTGGGCAAGAACAAAACAGATGGTGTAGATGATGACATGTAGGCAGATTGCCAGACAGAGGCTTTAACACTGTCGTGCAATTTCATGAAATGGCATATATTTTTATTTATGTATTTTTTTTCTTTTTTCTTTTTTTTTTCTTTTTTCTTTTTCTTTTTTTTTTTTTTTTTTTTTTTTTTTTTTTTTTTTTTGCTGTGGTTTCCAGAGGCATGCAGTAAATGATTTATCCACTGTACTGGTCCCCTGTGCTGGCAGAGCTGTAGCATAGTGCACTGACTGGGAAGCCTTAAGTTCTAGGCTGGCCTTGGACTCTTGACTCCAGATCCTCAGGAGGAGGGGTGAGTTAATGGAGGGGATTTACTTGTGTGTTTGAATGGTGCAATACAGCATTACCTCTCCTTCCCGATCTAGTTCTCTAAAAGCTGCATAAGGCATAAGTTACCTTTCTCCTGATTTTTAGAAGGCTGCTGATAGGGAGGAAATAAACCTACTGTGAATGTTTCTTTACTACTTCAGACCAGGCACAAATACCTAATGAATTCAGAGGACAATGGATTAAGCCTTCATTTGATGCTGCAACCTTTAGTTTGCCATGATGGAGGCTGGCAGAAAGGCCTTTCTCCCGGATCAACTTTGTTGCAAAACCAAGCTTTACTGAGAGGCAGTGGAAGAAGTGCCATGGAAAAGCTGCTGGTGTTCTGTCATTCTATTGTATGTCCAGGTGGTTTTTTTAGTATTTTTCCAGTTTCTTTTAACATTTGTGGATGCGTTTGGAAAGGAGAAGCACCCTTCAAATGTTTATGATTTGCAGAGAACTTTAAAAGCAAAAGTAATTTTTAGACAAAATACAGGAATTTTTTTTCCCTAGGTAGTCTCTTGGGCAGATAAATCTTGCTTCTAGCTTGCTGGAATCTTTGACTTAAGTTTTAACTAAGCAGCAGATAAGCTTTTTGGGGGGGGGTGTTGTTTCTTTGTTACAGACTTTTAAATGCCATGTGAGCAGGGAAGAAATGTATCAATCAGCATTCTGTTGTTAATTTTGTTCCAAATGCATTTGTGTCTTAGTGGTAAAAAGTACAAGCAGTAGATTAAGATATATGGTCTCTGCCATTACTTAATTATTGCCAAAGGTGAAAATAAATGCCTAATTTTTAGCTAAGCTAGTTTTGTCCATGGAAACAGATGGTAAGAAAAGGGGGCAAAACCATAATTTTTTTAGTCTGGTAAACCCTAAACAGAAATAGCAAGTGAGAGTAAGTGTTGGTAGCAGAAGTCTTTAAAAAAACCAAACCCACAACAATCCACCAAACTAGTGCATCCCAAAGCATAAAACTCTATTTCTTTAGTGCAAAGGGCAAGAGGAATCACATGGTATAGGTTTTTATGTGGCACTTAAGTGCGAATGGCCTGTGTGCCGCCACTGTGGGAGTATAAAGCAGCCATAAATTTGGTTTTACTTGGCTCCTCTGCCTCTGCCTAGGATGAAGGAGAGAGATGCAGGTTATGGTTTCTAGACCATCCTTTTTGCTAGCTGTTTTCAGCCAATATAGATGTATTTTTGGTTGTAACCAGCTTGAGCAAAATAACACATCTGCAGACTTATATTCTGCCTTAGAGCAGAAGCCCAAGGCTCCATATTTAGTATTAGTTTCTGGGGTTTGTTTTGCAATCCCACATCCACCTCTTCTTGGGCTGTCTTGTTGCTTGCAATGAGAAGGCTGATTACCATATGTTAGCAGTTCTAGGCTCTAGTAAAATGAGTCAAGTTGCTGTAATAATTCCCATGAAGCTGTACGGCAATGGGGTGCAAAGAACAGAGCCATCAGAATTGCTCAGGGAGGTGGTGGAAAATAGTTCAGTAGCTGCAGCAGATGAAACCTGTATCAGAGCTACTTCAAGGAAAGCAATGCTTCCTTTTATTAGTAGGCTGGCTGAAGAATCTTCAGTTTACAGACAGGAAAGCACACACACAAGGTAATGTTTTCAATTCTTAATCACATACAATTTTTGTTCAAGAAACTGCTTTTGTAAGGGAGCTTTAGCCAGAACCTAGGCAACACTGAAATAGTACCAGTCACCTGGGAACACCACCCTGTTTAATTTGCTTACAAACTTTGTATGAATGCAGGAACAAAATAACACTTCAGGAGCGATGGTAGCTGTGAAGAATATGAAAAGCCCTGTAACTGCTATCTGCTAAAAAAATGGTAGGGATGATCCTCACATCAGTACTCGTATTAGACTGTGTTCATATCCTGTCAGATATGAAAAAACAGAAATTAAAGGTAAATGTCAAGTAATTACATTAGAGAAGGACTCGTGTAGCTATGCACCTGAAAGATGGGTATTGTTAGCAGGGAAAAAAATAATAAAATCCATTAGCAAAGGAGTATCAGTCACTGCTGTTTCTTCTAAGAACTGGATGCTTAAGGCAATTCAACCCATTTAATAACATGTTTTCAAGGTACTGTTTAAACTTCATGTCCACTGCCAGTTAGTTTCACAGATTATAGTACTTTACCAAGTGTATGAGAGAGGTTCAAAACCAGTGTATCTTAATTGTGTCTCCAGCCATATCATTCAAGATAGGATTACAGAAGCAATTAGCACTTGTATTTCATGTATTCAGTGCAGTGAATTCATACAATGGATTCAGTTTGGCCAGGGGAAAAGAAAAATAAAATCCTGTATCTGCATTTGCTACAGTACTTTATAATTCACATTTGATCTATCTAGCATTTGATATGATACAGGCATGGACAGCCTGCTTCAAGCTGGCTACAATGTCTACAGAAAATAGATCATCCAAGATACTGAATGACCTGTAATTACTCCTCTGAGTGTTGAATTTGTGTTTCAGAATGCAGGAAAAGCTTACAGGTTGAAAGTTTATTTCAGGTTTGTAAGATGCAACCCTCTGCTTTACAGGTTAGCATCCTGGGTTATCCTAGTTCTTACAAATCTCCTCTCCTAGTGGAGATAGTGGAGAACCTACATTCACAGTCTGTTCAACTACAGCTGTTTTCATTCTGTATTAAGCTTGCTAGATTTCTTCGTAACTACATCAAAAGCTTTTGGTATTGAAAGCTTTTGATGCAGAGGGGAAACAATTAAAAGGGCCTCAGATTTGGGAATGTAACAGTCAAGTCCACCAGATGCTCAGCAAGCAGGATTTTAGGATGAGCATTGCGTTTGTTGTAACAAGCCCATTTTCTTTGCTGGCTTTTGGTTAATTTCCACAGGAGCTAAGAAAATGTTATCTGGAACTGCTGGACTTCTGGAATCCTGTTCTAAGAAGGTGGGTGCAGACGCATGACTGGAATGATATCTTTCTCTGTGGTATGAGGGCACATTCATGATTATTAATGTGATTAATCAGTGAGGCTTTCTCTATATTCTTAATGGTTAAACATGCTGTTCATGGGTATGTCTGTAATCTAAGTTCTTTTGCCAGCATCCAGGAAGACTCTGTATGTGTGGATGCTTCCTTTCTCTTGAATAAACAATTATTTTAAAAACAAACATTAAACTTTTATGAAAGAATGCTGGATCCTGAGTGCTGTTTGTTTAATTATTGTCTGAAGAGGATTAAAAAAATGCAGGCTACTCAAGGTATTAATAGTGGCAAGAGAGGGTGCTAGATTCTGAAGCTTCTTGATTCATGCAGCCTTTATGGCCCTACAATAACATGGTTTCTGTATCTCTTGGAAGAGGTGCTAAAAGTAGGGAAAAGGCTTTTTAAAACTCCTGTATCTATACTTAATCTGGAATCTTCCAGCTATTTTTAAACTCAGCTACCATGTTAAATTATTCATGCGAACTTTTTTGTCATATGTTTCCAGAAGTCCCTTGTTAACTCTTTTCACAGTTATTTCACCTGAGGGAGATGGCACTGTGTTTCACCACATAACCTGTGCTGAGAGCAGCTACCAAGCATTTAAAAGAATAAAGACAAACAACAAACAGGCTGCTTTTTTTGCATAGATTTATCATAGCTGTTGATTATTCTATAAAATAATGTGTAAGAGTTTGCTTTACAATATATAGATAGGCTCATCCTGCTTTGTATGTGATGAAAAAACAGACTCAATTGTTGATGCTGCTCAGGGAAGGAGAGCACTTTAGAAATATTTCTTTTCCCCACACAAGCTCCACACAATGCTAATGTGTTTCCTAGCAGCAGTGCCTGGTAAGTCTTACCCATCTGTATAATTAATCTTAAGAATTGAATTGTCAGCTCTCAGTTTGCTGTTGTGTTGTAGATCAACTTGCCCTTTCTACTTCCTTAATTTGCTACTGCAGAGGCTGGCTGGTAAACTAATTACTGTAGCACTGGCATCCTTTGGTTAATAGAGCTGTAATCCAGGGATGGATTCGAACACTGTGTCTGGAGAAGATTGCCTGTACTTTCTTCCCTTTATTCAGCAACCAAAGCAGCAGAGTAACAGAGATCCAGCTACTCTAGAAAATAAAATAAGCATGTATTTCTGCTGCTAAAGTATTCAAGAACATGGTACAGTATAGCTAGGGAAAAAATTAACTGCCACACAAAGGCTGCATTTTAAATTCTCTTGCAGTAGGAGAAAAGTGTTGGTTGGAGTTGCTAAACCTGGTAGCCTGATAGAGATGAAGCTGCCTGCACCTTCATGTCCCCAGGTCCAGCCAGTAGCAAGGCTGAGTCTGTACTCCCAGTAGGCACACAAACACCCTAACACATGTATGTGTATACACATGGCCAGCCACACAGATAAACACATATAAAAGCAGAAAACAGAACTTCTGCAAGTGGAAACAGGACCAACAGCATCATCCTCTTCCCCTCTCTGGAATGAAGGTCCTTAGTGGAACGTACAGACATATGTACATCATGGGTCCCTCCAGGAACAGGGCTTAGGTGTTCATTTATCCATTAGCTGGCCCCAGATCCTTCTCTACAGCTGCAGGTACCTGGTCATAGAAGCTCCCAAGGCCCACTGCCCCACTCAGGTTGCTGGTACTCAGACCCCCTTGCACCCACAAACACAGGTGCACACAGATTGTGGACCCCTTCAATAACTGGCCTTAGGCAGCCCACCCTGTAGCTGGCCCTGTGCCCTTTCATCTCTAACGCTCAGGCAGAAGCTGACCACACAGTAGTAAGGACTGAAGAAAGTCTGGAGAGCTGAAAGTAGTCAGGCTGGAAGGATACTAGGGCAAGTGTCATACATGCTTGTCCTGATCTTGATCTTCCCATGGTATCTGATTTTAGTTAATACTACTAACAGGCTATTTAGCTAACCAGAGCATGGTCTGAGCCAGAACTGATGTTCCTAGATACCTGATAAATACAGCTGTATGTCTGTCTGGCGGCCAGTAGTGGGCTTTTATCTGCAACACAGTGGCTGGATTCTGCTGCATCCAGGCACTCTGGAAAAGCTGCAGCATTGTCAGGGAAATGAGTAAAAAAATGATACTGATACAAAAGCGATTAGCAGCACTTTAACATGCACACTCTGCGCCTTGTAACACTCAAGTGTGTTTCGTGCTGTTCTACCAGTGCAGATTTCAGGATGCCTCTGTCATGGGGATTTTTGACAACCATAGAGCAAACAGGCAAGACCTGAGGTGGGGTGGTGTAAATACTGTGAAAATAATGTAGCTGTAATGAAGTAATGCCCCTTTTCTGGTTGTAATCTTTGGCCGGGTTTCCTATGGAAGTGAGGTTTAAACCATCAGGGTGTGTTATCTTCAAACTCAGTGACCCATTCCAGGCAAGTTCAACAAGTCGTCTCCACACTGGTGGCAGGTTCTTTTGGTGCAAAGCTGAAGAAGAGGCTGCAACATCAACTCATGTTTTGTTAGAGGTGAGAGAATCTGCTCAGGAGGAAGTCCTTTGTCTTCAGACAGAGTGTCATCCTGGACACCAAAGCCAATCACTCACAAAAGGCAAATACACAGGAAACCTTTGTTAAATGGCAGCTGGCATTAGAGCAGTGGAGCACCTCACACCTCTCAGAATAAATACTTCTGGCTGCTGCACAGCCTCAAGTCATGCAAAGGCTGCCAAATTCCTTAACTTACGTGTCACAGAGCACCTGACCAAGATCCACATCCACATACCCCCAGGGCTAAGGGGGCTGGAAGGGTTTACAGGGGTCCAATGGACAGGAAGCATCAGCCTGGGCTGGTTTGGTTCTTCCCATATGGGAAATTGGTATTACACGGCTTTTCCAGTGCTGGCATAATGTAAGGAGTCATCTACAGCTTCAGCCAAGCACACTGCAGTGCGGCTGCCTGAGGACCATGTGGACTCCCAGAGCTACAGTGCCATGTGAGTGAGCGTGGGGAAGGAAGGAGCCGTACCCTACCAGGGAGAGAACAAACAAGAGGAGAGCTGTGCTCAGTTCTGCAGCTTGACAAGTCTGCAGAGCCTTGGGTAGCCCATAGAAATCAGCTACCCTAGTTAAAACCCTGGTGTGAGCTGACAGCCCGAGTGGCTGCTGCTCCCAGAAGTAACCATATTGCAAAGCCATGGATCTCATTGCACAACAGCTAACTGCCTGGGACAAGATTAGTTTGAGAAGCACTTGGATGCAAAACAGAAACTAACTGTACAGAGTCCAAGTGAATTTCTTCTAGAGGGGCCAGGATGCTGCACTGTTGCCATTCACACCTCCCATGTCTCCAAAAAACTCTACGTAGCTAGGAAAAAAAAAATCACAACTGACAAGACACAGAATGACAAAGCAAAGCTCTCTTCCCTGTCCTCAGGGCAAATTGTAGCTGCCTGATCCAGGTTAGCTTCACACCTCCAACTGTTCTTCTCCCCAGCCATGAGATCCGTACAGTTTTCAAGAAATCGCTGGCTCCCACAACACAGAAAGGAAAATAAGGCTGTTGTGCAACTCAGTGATACAGACGAGAGGGTGCCTTCCATCTGTCTCCTCCCTGCAGTATTGCCACAACTGAATCAAAGAGAGAAATAAAAAAAGGCAGATGTTAACTTGAGCACCAAGATGAATACAACCCTTCTCCTGTGCCTGTGCTTATCTGAATCATCTGAATAGTGTAAATACAGAATAAATGCAGTAAATATAGGATATGACAGCAAGTGTTTTCATGGAATTAACACAAAATCTTTGCTTCTCAACATGTGCAGTCATGAGTGGACTCACAAACAGTCTTCATATGAGAAAATTAATCGTTTCATGTACTGCTTGCTACTTTGAAGACTTTTAAGCCCTATGTTTAGTCCTTGTCTGTGGACAAGAAAAAAAGCAAAAGGCTTGGAAATAAGGGCTAAACATTATCATGACCAGAAGCAACAGGAACTGAGGAGCAGGGGCAGTCTGTGGACATACTGCCCTGCTCAGTACACTTCCAGCTGTGCAAGCAAGCTGAACCCAACTGTTACTTCAAAAAAAGTGTTAAAAGCCTTCAGCCACTGTGTTGAATTTGGGAGGAAAAGACTCAGTCTCCCAAACCCCCAACTTAGACTGCCCACCCAGGCAAGGCTCCCAGGCACAACACCTGAGATGCTTTGAATAAATCCAAAATGAATAAAGGAAAAGCAGGAAATTCTTACAGCCAAGTTTAGACCAGCACTGATAAGGCAGCTTGCCAGGAGCCTTAATCTATTTTCTGGGTTTTTTTTAAATTGAAATAGCCTGTGGTTGCCCTTTACCAACCACTATACAACTAGAAGCAAATACACAAAGAGACAGAAATACCCCTATTATTCCTTCCACATTAAGTTGTCTCTAGAAGGCAGTTTTCTCCTAAATGTGTAGATTGACCTGTCAATATAGCAGAACTGGTGACTGAGCTGGTAGTGAAGTTTCTTCTTTCTAGCCCTTCAAGGTAGTTTCTTTGTCCTCCTACCTTTCATGAGGCTACAAGATCCCTACTTATTTGACCACAGGTTTTCCTCTTTATGCCTGACAAGTTCATGAAGTGCAGGCAGCCAGGACTCCTCTGCTGGAGCATCAACCTCACTGCTGGTGACAGACTGATTATTTTTTGCATGAGCTCTTTTGGCTTTCCCTGGCATAGCCTAGCCATTACAACATACATTGCTCTCTTACTCATGCTTCCTTTTTAGTACTGATGTGCTTTCTGCGGGACTGCTGCGTCCCAGACAATATGGCAATGCTGCTGAAGAGAACTAGAAAGAGAAAACAAAATTATTCCCTGTGATCCTATAATTGAGTTTTTCATTATTAATGATGCATCTTCATCCACACGCTTGGCTTTCCTTCCTGAAGATGCTGGCAAATAAGCAACTGAAAGCAGTGACCAGTGTTGCACCCCTCCCCTGCCCCCAAAGTTTAAAACAATTTTAATAAGCTGCCAGAGCAGTGCCTTAAGGAGTTTCGCCGTCAGCACAAAGTGGGGCAGGCTCTGCTGTGGCCAGCACTGCTTCAGCGTCCTCAAAAGCCACATCACCAGCAGGATACCGAGGTACCGCTGCAGCCTCCGGGCACGGGCCCCCGCCGCCTCGGCAGGGACAGGCCATCACACACCTGTTGGTGCAAACCCGCCTAGGAAGAAACGAGACCCACGGAAGCAGTGATTTCAATTTATTAATTTTATTTCCTCCCGCAACCGCAACATCTGCCGCAAGGCCGCGATTCCATCCGCCGCCACAGCTCACCGGTCGCCAGCAGCGGCGGGAGGCGGCCCGACAGCGGCCACTAGTGGCCCCGCGGGACCCAGGGCATGCTGGGATTCGTGGTCCCGGTGGTACCGTGGGTCCTCCCGGGGCGGGAAAGCGCTCGCTCACTGACGCAGTTTGACCCTTCTGCCACCCCGTCTCCCGCTGCCTGTTGCCGCGACACCGCTCGCCACAGCACATTCCAGCGTGGGTTCCGCGGTGGGGAGGGAGAGGGCGTTCTTCCTCCGGGCTTGTCCGCCGTACCGCCTGAACAGAAACGTGGGATCCTCCGCGTGTCTCGGGCCCCCTCCTCACAGAAGCACCCCAGCGTCCATCCTCGCACCCACATCTTCGTTTAGCAACTCCGCCTGGCGCGACGGGTAGGCGGAGACTGCCGCGGAATGGGCCGCGGTGATCAGGCATGACGGTGGGCAGCCCGCAAGAAGCCGGGTGAGGGGTCAGGCCGGGGACCTGCTCCTCCCTCCTTCCCTCCCCGCCCTGACATGCCAACCCGGCAGACGGCGGCGCAGCAGCGTGAGAGCCGCGTACGTGGGGCCGCCGGGGTGCTGCATGTGACTAAATGACTTCTCT